GGGCCCCCCCCCCCCCACCCCCAGCTGCCGTCAGACAGGGCGTGGTCTCGGGGGGCAACAGGCTGTCTCCTGCAGGAACAACTCATTATTCAGATAAACTAAATGGAAGTGCACCATGTGACCACAAACCAAAAAGAAGCCAGAACAACAGGGGTCCCCACCCCTAGAGGGATAATGTGCCACTACCCAGCGTGTAGCAGGAGAGAAGAACAGAGGAAATATTCCTGGTTCAGTTGTGCTCATCATCTGCCAGGACAGATGCGCCGACCTATCCAGATTTCTGGATGGGTGGGCGGGCGGTGCCCTCAACTCCACAGCAAATCCTTTAATGCTACTGTCGTTTGGGTCCTAATTTTTTTCCAAGGGCACTACACGTTATGCTTCATTTGGGCCAGATGTTCCCATCAGTGTGTCTGCTCATCCCCGCTAAGAACACAACAACAATTATTTATTTGTCCTTCCAGCACATGTAGCAGCGAGGAAAGGCTGCTGAGACACAGCGATGACAGATAGCTGACGCCCTCCTGCAGAGCCCCGGGCATCCCAGCAAACCGGGATACAAGAGGGGGAGGCACCACACCGCGCTCCAGCTCTGTGCAACAGGCCATCTACAGGGTCCCTGTTTTTAAACCCTAAATCAATAGTTTAAACAGATGTAGATTCCATGTGACAGGAGAGACAGTAAGGAGATTTGAGGCTTTATATTCTTTAGATGTCTACTTTTGCCGTACTGGCTATTAAAAAGTTATGTGTAACTTCAAGATGAAAGGCATTAGCAGCTTCTTAGAAGAGGATAATCCCAATCTTCTGGAGATTTAATGAGATGTGACTCACTGAAGCTTCGGACTCGGTCTGCTGTTAATTGAATCAAAGTCAATGACAATCTTGCTGCACTTCGGTGTGAATTTCCTAAACATAAAAAAAAACAAAATACATAAAGATATGAAGGGGCGAATAGTTAAAGCAATTTGTTTACTTTGGCTAACCCTGTATTTTCTGTGCAGGAAAAAAAATGTCCTGGGATTCACTTGATATTTTATCTCTATAGGAGCCAATTATAGTGCACCATGCCGAGAGAAACACGGCCCAGAAAGGACTAAGACAAAAACAGGCGTGGGGTAGCTCGGTCTGTATGTTCTGCAGCTCTCTGAGTTCATGAATTATCGGGAGTCAAAGGGTTTTTAACAAGTTAGCTGCACAACATGGTATCCGATTACTAGTTTTCCTTTCAGATGTGTCTTATTGTTTAGAAAATTTCTGCAGCCAACTTAGAGTTGCTCTAAAGCAAATGATAGTACATTTTCTTTGGCCTCTTGTACATAGCAAAAAACAACCGGCTTTAGTGAGGAATAATTATAAAAATCGTGTTCTCAAAATGCAAATGTAAAATAAACCCACTGTATGTGTTCACTTACCTTTTTACTCATTACTCCTACAACAATTAAGACATAAACCCTGGGGGTTAAAAATGGTCTTCTAAAAATCAGTAAATAAGAGAATGTCCATCGTTTGGACTTAAAGTCTCATAAGGCCCAACAGTTTAGTTCAAGAAACCCGCTCTGTATTGCCTAAACCCCTAGTGGATGAGCACAGGGGCCAGGCAAGTCGCCTAGTAGAACTGTCCCACTACTGCTGACCACGAAGACTGTGAAACTCCTGAAAGCTTCAGTCTCAAAAGAACTTTCTGCCATAAACCTGAGGTGGTTAAATTTACTTGCAAGTAAAATAAACCTTACAATCTTTGCTGAGCAAAGATGATCATACAAATCCAAAAGACTTCAAATCTTAATTTAAAATGTTGCTGTAAAAAGAATTCCTGGAGTTTCAACCTGGCAGGTTACTTTCATCCTACATTTTCTAAGCCAGTTGTTACATCGGCAAATTTCACAAATGTATGGTGTTCCTCTTATAAAACTTGTGAATTTTTAAACTTCTTGCTACTGAAATAATTAGTCTACGCCCTGGAAAGTTACTGATATTAAAGTGCAATCATTAAACAGACTGTCTTCAAATACTTCTGTCGCTGCTCTTAAAAATCTTCCTCTGAAATACCAGATTCTTATGCCATCGCATTTCCAAAGCCACTTCCCTGTGTGGAAGCCAGCCACCACCAGGAGAAGGTGAACGGCCAAGGTCAGATATGTCTCGCCATCGGTCCTTCATACCAACCCCTCCCCGAGTTCTCCCTACTCACCTGAATGTGACCCCCGCCATATCAAACATGAGCCTCGCAGCTGTTGTCTCATCACTATCGTGGTATTTATCAGACATGAAAATAACTTCTTTTATACCTTCAAAGGTAACAACAGACGCCCCGTTAGTGCATGCACTTACAGATACTGCAGCAGACATGCCGAGGCAGGTGGAGCCCGTGTGGTATCTATGATTAATTGCCTTTCCAAGTGTGCTCGCGGACAATGTCCAGTTACTGAAATATATCCCTGCCGCGTTCTCATACAGCAGAGGGTGGGTTACATTTAATCTGCCCTGCAGTCTTTATGGATTTCTTTTTAAACACATGCAAAGTAAAAACATGCCAAGTAGCCAGATCTTGATTCAATTATCACATTTTCTTTACTGCAGGTATTCAAAAATTCTTTATTCACCAGGCAACAACTCTTAATCCAAGAGGCTAATCTAATAGGAGAGGGGAGGGTACTGGCAGATTCAGAACTAGGTACTACTGCACTTCCGAGATTCTGCAGACCGATTGAAACCAGTACTGTGGAGAACGGATCGGCTTTATTTTCCTGATTTCACCAAGCAATGCTCACTGGAGAGCCAGGAGCCCCACGGGCCCTGCCCTGACGGCTGCGCCCCCACTGGCCTTTGCGGAGACCAGGCAATTGGCCCAAAGAGGATGCAGCATTTCCCACGTGCCTGCCGCGGCTTCTACACCTGAGGATGGCTGAGAGAAAACCTGAAGAAGCACACGACAGCGACAGTGAGGGAGCCCATGCGATTCCTTAATAGAGGCTTCTGATTCGATACCAGCAGCCCTCTTGAGCTGTGAGATCCATGGGGCTCGTGATAAACAGCCCCTTTAAACCACACATCTGGCTAAACATGATAAGTCTTTAAATCTCAAGCTGAGAGTTTTATGGAGATAAAGTATAGGTGACGCTTAGATGTGACAGTTTGAAAAAGGGGAAGTATTCAGACTACAATGGTGTAGATTTATGGCGACTGTACTATAAGAAAAACTTAAAGCAGTATCCATTTGAGTCTTGCGCTATTTATATGCAAAGATATGTTTAGATCCTCAAATATCTACCATGTATTAGACACAAATTAAAATTTCATATACAGACTCCCAGCTGACCTTGTTTCTGACGGAAGTTCATTTCTCTCCCTCCCCCTTAATCTATGCACAATATGTCGGAGAATAGTAAATTGACAGTAATTATATGCAATGCCTGTGTTGTTTTTGGCAGCTTGCAGTTTAAGAAGTTGCAAACTAAATTAAAAACATGCTAAGAATCACAGAGGATGCAATTAGTCCTAGAATACCTGGCACCGCTCAAAAACAAAAACACGGGGAATATCTTGCAAAGCTGATAGTGCAATTAATTTAGATCTAAACAATAGCGATTTGAGATCACACACCTCTGCAATGAGCTACCGAGGAGCAGGCAGCAATGCAAATGTGACAAATGGGAAGGCCCGGTTCCTACCTGCCTGGATGATGAGCTTCGCGCACTCGTTACACGGGAACAAGGCGACGTACATGCTGCAGCCTTTCACGTCGGCCGAATTTTTGTTCATGATGGCATTCAGCTCGGCATGGCACACTGTGGGTTTGAGAGAGAAAGAAACACTCAGGTTGCAGTTCGTGAAGAATTTACCGAGTGTTGAAACATTCCATTCCCCCCACTGAAATAACATATAAGACACTCAATTAAAAAAATTTTTTTAAAAAGATCAGAAACAGTAAGTGCTGAGAATACCGGACGGGGGCCACGTGGTCTGACTGGGATGGTGATGGCAGCAAAGCATTCACTGCAGATGCCCTGGCCCGTAAGCACCTGGGGCAGCCAGACAGGGCCTCGGTCAAGTACCTTCACCCACCCTAAGCAGAGCGATGGCTCACCACTCCACAAGACCCTGGGGTATCGAACTGCCCCCATAAGATGGCTCATTTGTGTGTTGATATGCACACACAGGAATAGTCACTGCGGGTCGTTAAGAGGGCAGGGAGCAATTCTAAGGAGCAATTCTAAGGATGAGAGACTCAAGTGAAGCTGAGCATTTCTACCCCGAGGGCTCTGCTTCACCACGTCGTTCCCAGCCCACATACACGCAAAAAAACAATGCCGGCAGATAACCCCTAGCTTGTATTTTATAAGAAAAACAGTCAATGATTCAATGACAACGAAAAGTCCAGTTCTTGATAAACTGATCCATTCCACCAATGACCCCAAAACCACGCTGGAGGGTCGTCGCCGGCCCGCCTGAGTTCAAGGGGAGAGCGCGTCGTTGAATCCCTCGCCCCTCTGTGAGGCTTCTGTATGGCCGTTGTGCATAGCTAGTGGGTTTTCTGGGTGTGTTCCCTAAAACTGTATTATAAACTCCTTAATGCAGCGAGTTGCAAACTTGTCTGTACACTGGAACTCCTGAGGGGCTTTTCCAAAATACTGACACCTGTGCCCCACAACTGGATAGCGTGGTCTGGGTATGCCCCAGGCTTGGGAGTTTTTAAGAGAGTTCTTTGGAGATTTTAATGTGCAAACGAGTTTGGGAGGCACTGCCTTACAGGCTCCCTTGTATCCCAGGCACGTTACACACGTGCTTAAAAAAGGTGTGTTGAATGAATAAAGGACTATCCAAATCATACAAAACTCCTAGGATATAAAACATGAGGACCTTCAAGGATCTCTCCTACCCTCTCCAACCTACCAAGCTTTATTTAACACTTTCTTGAGGAGTTTTGAGTCTTTAAATGAATACTGGCCTGGCCTAAACTCATAGCTCTTACATTTCAGTCACAACTCAGTCCACGTGGCCACCGAGAACCCAGTCTGGGTCAGACACATGAAAGGCCTGGCCTGCCTCCCCAGCCAGCCTCCTGTTTTCAGCAGCGCTGTAACGATCTGCCTGTTCCTGTCCTGCAGCAGCTCTGCGACGCTGCAGGCAGAAAACGGCCAACAAGACTCTCAGGAAACGTGACTCCTTTCAGTCTACGAATACCACGTTTTAGGGTCTGCTCCTGTGTAAGACTGAACAGTCTCTGGCACTGCAGGAAGAGCTACAGAAACAAAAGCTGTGCTTAATCAGATCACAGCCCAACAGAGAATAATCCTCCCTGGCCACAGAGTCACACTCCCTAAGATCCCTGGTCTGATAAACCCCGAAGGCAAGGAGGATGAAGAAAAGGGGGAGAAAAGGGAGAAAGGCGCAAAGGCCCTTTGCTCAGCAAGGAGCAGTGTGGCCAAGGCGGCGTACACACTGCCCTTGGAGAGGTTCCCTAGGCTCCTTCTCCCTGGTGACAGAGTGTTCCCGGAACTGGGATTAACACTGCACAGTATTAAAAACAATTAGATGTAATTGTGCCTTTTATTTCCCCCTTGAGGGTACAGCCTGGCCTTCCAGGTTCTTTGTAACCCCTCCAGAGTCTAATACGATGCCATGAACATAATGGGTGTTAAATATTTATTGAATGAATAAAGGAGGAAATGCAGATTCCAATTATTGATGGTGACGTTGGGAAATACTGAAAGTCCTCTTAAATTCAAATATCAAAACTATGCTTTCCCATCCAATAAATATTTTTGATGGTGTTGGTATTAATATTCAGAGCTACAGTCTCTGAATCTGTTATGAAGTACTATCACAGTGTCCTCTGCAACCTCGATGACTTGTCACATTGACCGGAACTATCTTCCTCTCATTCATCTGAGGCACTTTGGGGCAAAACTGATCATTATAGGTCTGGATTCGTTAGCGAAAATTACCATATGAAACAGATTCTCGTGGGCAGCCTCCTGCCATCCCTGTGTAAGGGTGGTTCAGAGAAATAATACACAGGATTACGAGCAGACTTCCTTTCTCTTAAAAAAAAAAAAAAAAGCCATGAGATGAAATACATAAAGCTTCTTGTTAAAAAAAAAAAAAGAGGCGGTCTAGTGGGTAATATGAACAAGCGAGTGTTAGGTTTATCTGAGACTCTTTAAAAGGAACAGTTCGCAACCTACAATCCCACATTTTCAAAACTACACGACAAAAAGGAAACCCAAGTGTTCAGGTGAGGGTGCAAGGACCAACCCGGACTTCTCTTGCTCATCCCTGCATGCCTTCACCTTCCAGCAGGCCAAAGGCCTACTCCCTCCCCCAGAGCCCCATTAGGCCACCAAACCCTGCCTAGTTAACCCCAGCTGCCCAGGCCCAAACTCCAACCCAGGGGAGCCCACCTCACTCCCCAGGAGCAGTCTGTGCAGGCCCTGAAGTCTGGTTTCTCCTTTCCGACATGGCACTTGCCTCCCATATGCGTGATCTCCACAGCCCCTGTGGCTCTGACCCTACCTTTCCCGGCAAAACCACTCTGTAAGTCCCCTCTAGGCTTGCTCCAGTCAGGCCTTAGGCCCCCAAGACTGTCCTCAAAGAGGAAGTGGGACAGACTAATTTGACAACTGTTAATGCAGGATGATCGGAGCTGAAATTGGGCCACCGCTTCCTTGGACTGGCCATCTATACTGATCGAGTAACTGGCCACGGCCAAATACACTGCAGCACTAGGACCCTCAGCACTAGGACCCTCACGGCTGGCCTGTGACCGGTCTGGCCCCAGCTGCCCTGACCACCACAGGGCCAAGCATCTTACACCTTTGCAGGTACCTCACCGCTGCAGGCAAAAATGGAGAAAGAAAGGTCAACAGCAGGACTCAGGCCCAGTTTTGCCACTTACAAGCAGGGTCTGGGACTGGCAGATGGCGTAACAGTCACATCGCTGGACTACCTATGGTGGATCATAGCTCAAATCCCGGACCGGGTGGCTTGAAACTCATGCTGGGCACGTGTACCTGCATGCCCAAAATCCTGAGGAGAATAGAGAACGGACTGTGTGGTGTGGCCATCCTCCCCCCGGGGGGTGGATTTTTGCTTTCTGTATGTCTTTCTGGCAAATGCACACACAACATAGCAAAAATCTCTTAAAAACAAACAAACAAACAAACAAACAAAAAAACAACCTTATTTATTTCTTTGTTGTGAGACAGAGAAGAGAGAACCCCAACGGGGCCCCAATGCTGTGATCTACCCCCAGTCCTCAGCTAGCTCTAGATCATGGGCATGCATCTGCTGGGCCTACCCAGGGAGGTCTCCAGACTTGAGCGGAGAACCTCCCCAAGTGGGACTGCCTCACAGGGTGTCAGAGCTTAGCATTTTACCACTGCACCACTGTCTGGCCATCCCTGTGTTCTTCCGGTTTGTGGGAATACGTTAGCGCTGAGAAAGTACACTTCCAAGTACTTGAATAAAAGCAATTTAAAAATACCAAGTGCATCCAATTTTTAGTTTTTTCCTAATGTTTATTCCCACTCCCCAATCCTCCAGAACAGCTGATCTATGCCAAGACAAGCTTCCACTAACAGAACATGAGCCTCCCCTCCCAGGGTCCACCGCAAGCCCTGGCCCTCAGCAGTGCTCTCTCCCACTGTCTCTGTAGCATGGCTTCTTGTTTCTCCATTTTTCTTCTCTTTCAAGCACGTCCGCTTAGTCTCCATTCTAAAAAGGCCATCTTTTTAACATCCTAAGTCTCTTTTCTCCTTTTCAAGATGAAGTCATCCTGTCTACAACTGCTACTCTAATTTATATTTTTAGTAGTTGTCCCTTGACAATGATCTGTAATGCATACATCACCTCTACTCTTCAAATGGCAGGTTATGAATCAGTTTGGTGAGTTACAAGTAGCTTTTTCTTTTTTTCCTTTCAAAAAAGAAATGTTATTTATTTCTTCTATGACACATACACACACACACACACACACACACACTCTCTCACTCTTTCACTCATGCTGTGTGTGTGTGTGTGTGTGTGTGTGTGTGAGAGAGAGAGAGAGAGAGAGAGAGAGAGAGAGGCACCCCCAACTCCTTGCCACAATCAACCCAGATCCCAGACATGTGAAAGTATGCGCCCCGCGTGTACAGGGAGGTCTGAGGATATGAACTGAGGACGCTCATATGTGGATCCAGTTGTGTTACCAATGTGGCACCATCTGACCTTTGTTTCTTTTTTAATGACACAGATAAGAAAGGAAGAGCAAAACCCAGCATGCCTTCCACATGCAAGGTTAAAAACTGTTCCTAAACACTATTTTTCATATAAGAACCATGTTCTCTGGGTAACCATGTAAGAAGTCTACTCATAGTCTATGGAAATGTGCTCACCTCTGTAACAGGCTGATAAATGTGTACAACCAATTATTAAGGGGAACAAAAATCTTGGACCAGCTGGTGGCACGGTAGTTAAGGTAGCTGGATCCCACATGGCCGACTTTGCTGCTCAAGTCCCAGATCCAGTGGCTTGAGAAAAACATGCTGGGTGCGCATGCACGCGTGTGTACCCAAAATCATGAAAGAATGAAGTAACAGCAGCATGGCCACGCCCCCAGGGGAGGTGATTTCTCACTTTCCAAGCCCCCCACCCCCTACCCCGTCTCTGATGAGCACATGCACCCTATAACGAAACTAAGAGGGGAAAAAAAAAGCTTAGGTTTGCAGCATCGGGCCATCTCTGCAGTGTAGATACCCCCACTTCAAGCTCCTAGCATGCCACAGAGGTGTAAAGAGATGCGCAC